GTGCCAACCGCCCCTCCCACCACCACCACCAACCATTCACACACACACCAGACTCATTCTAGGCAATGGGGGGAAGTGTCTTGCCTAAGGACACAACGGCAGTTTGGCACTTTACAGCCGCAGCCGCACCACTGTGGCACCTGCTGTTCCCAGAGGTTAAGTGTCTTGCCCAAGGAGACAACGACAGCAGACATCAGTGAGAGTCGATGAAGAAAGTCTTGTGGTGGGCTCGAACCCACAACCTTCTGGCTCAAAGCCCAATGCTCTACCAACTAAGCTACTGTCGCCTCAAGACCAGAGTCACAACGCATTTTACAATTGTGGGAAACCGGAGCACCCTGAGGAAACCTACACAGACACGGGGAGAACATGCAAACTCCACTCAGAATTGCCCTGTCCCGACCGGGATTCGAACCCATCAGCATGTGTGATACTCATATCCCACTGGTGTGCAATATTTGTTTTAATGAATGTGTGAATAGCTTGTGTTTCTTTTATGACCACACACAAACTTATTTGGCCGGAGCGAGCACATGAACTCACTTGAACGATAGATCCAGGTGAAGAAAACAACTGGTAACTAAAAAACTACAAAATACTACAGTTCCGAAATATGAGACAAATCAGAAAGAGACGCAGAGGAAAAAAAAAAACCACAAGTAGGGAAAAAAAACAGGAGCGCTCACTCTGGCTGAAAAAATCATGCTGGTCTCAAACTTTTATTTTTTATCTATTTTATGACAATGAAATGCTGCTGTGGACTGAAAATGACAATTTATTTAACTTTCATATTGTTTAATGCAGGGGTCTCCAACCTGTTGCTCGGGAGCCTCCAGTAGCTCGCCAGTCCCTTACAGGTAGCTCGCCAAAGGAATTAGAATTTAACAAACACATTTTTAAGTGAATACCTTTTGAGCGATTACATATCTATAATAAGTATAAATATAGGGTTATACAGTATTATGGTGTATTTTATTTGTTTCCTACAGGTTTTGTTTTCATTATTAGATAGATTTTTAATAGCTCTCTGCCTGTTTGTTTGTATAAAAGTAGCTTTATCGGTTGAAAAAGGTGAGAGACCCCTGGTTTAATGCAAATATTTGTACTTTGGAGAAAATAAAATATTGCTAGATACATTATCCTAGTCCTTGGCACCACTATCACACACACACACATCACGAGCCGTTTGAGATAGTGGACCACTAAAATCAATAACAGTGAATAAATAATAACAATTAACTCAAACAATGGTTCTTCTCTCATCTGTGTTAACGAACTTTGTAAAGTCCTCCGAAATATATACTATTGTGATTTAGGGCTATACAAAAATAAATTTAATGGAATTACAATAAACAGATTTAAGCAAAATTGTGGGGAGCCAGAGCGCTGCATATATTGTACACTAATGTTGCAATTTCACTTCTTTCTTTCCATTGAAACAAACAACTTGATAACATGTGAATTGTTGAAATTTTTCTGCCTTGAAATGTGCGTATTATATGTTTAGTTAAGAAACGATATGGACGGCTGCAGCTGAGAGCGCTGTGCAGCCACATGCCACCAAACCTGAGCAAACAGACAAAGCCATCTTCCTTTGAATCCGCGTCGCAGCGCAGGTGGCGGGCTTATTATTGCTGTGTGACTGGCATCTTAGCGACAGATGAGACTTTTTCTTCTTCTGTGCATTAAAGCAACAGATGGTGAGGTCTGGCTTTCTGCAAGTTTCCCATCGATCCGAGGCGATATGAAGTCTCCTCCGGTCGGCGCGTCCACCCCGGGCCCTATAGTCGCATTTGAGTACGTCTCTTGTTAAAGTAATGGCTCTTAAGTGGTGAGCGATTGGTATTGACTGAAGATGAAAGGCACCAAAAAAACCGGCAAAGTCTCTCCTGACAAAATCCTAAAGGTTGGACAAGGTGAAAGCGTATTAGAAAGCAGTATATTGGATTTTACTAGCAGTAGCGGGAGTGCTAAATGCTGCCAATGACCAGTGAGGAGTATTCCCACTGGTATTTTTAATTTATTTTCTTATTTCCCAACTTCCAGCCCAGCATGCGCACTATTCTACTAAAGAGAAGCAGCACAAAAGGCTGATTTACATTTTGCAGCGCGATGCAAATTCCCTGTTAGTAAGTACCTTTACAATTTCAAATCAAAATGATGCTGACTGGGGACGTTCGGGCTACGAGCCAAAAAGCTTCCATGATAAGCATTTTTATTGTATTGTCGTGTCACCAATTTATTTCTTATTTTCGGTCCTTTTCACTCGCGTGCCATGCTGTCTGGCTTCATGACACACACACGGAGCATCCACGCAGTACACCCGATGAACGTTACAGGGGTTTGTGAAGGGCAATCTTCTTTTTAAAACGCAGAGGGTAGAAAATGGCCGAATAAAGTAAAGGCAGGAGGAGAATAATATGAACAGAAAGTGCGTATATGTTCAAATTGTGTTATTGAGGGTACTGTTTGTATATATTTTACAGTGTATTGTGTATCTGATTGTGTTATGTGTATTTTTACTGTCCTGAGACAACAGATGGAAAATAGCCCTTTAGCTAATTCTGGCATAATTACATGTACAGTATAATGTATATTAATATGTACTGTCCCTTTAAGAAATCAATAAATCAAATCACTGCAAACGAGAATGAAGAATATAAAATGTAACGTCAACAGGAATCATCTTTACGTAATGACTAAGAATGAGGATGTGTTGTTGCCGGTTGCAGAATGAAATCCAACCAAGGAATGGAGCAACAGGGACAAAACAGTTTGTTCCCGTTAGATAATTGTTTGCTTCCCGTCTGTCTTTTTTAGGAGATTCGAAATCTTTTTCAAGCCAAAAACATTGCTATATTTTCTGCAAATAGAAATGATACGTTGTGATTTGTGTGCGATCACATTAAAGGTTACTAAGTATAGTGTTTTAGGAGAATACGCAAAGGGGATTTAGTCTCTGCAATGGGAGGCTTTTTATGTGAGAAGAGATGATGTTTATGGGTAGTTTTTGTTTGTGACCCAGTGGCTGTAAGAAAAGGAATCATGTGTGGTGCCTTAACTTTTCATCACAGTGGTCTCTAGGACGTTATAGGATCCAAGTTTTTTCTCTGGTGACCGACCCTCTCACCAGAAAACCTAAACAACCTGGTGCCCTGTAGACAGACCGTGAACAAACCGGCATCATGATGACCTCTCACAGCCCCTGGGTCAAATACGCAACACTATCAACTTTTTTCCCATAACAAAATGCATATTCCTTTAATTTAGGGTTATTTATTTTTCCTGATATTTTGGGTTTTTTTTTTGGAGACCAATCTTATCAAACTCCGCACAGATTGTGTCCCTGAGGCAATTCATGGTGCAACTGGATTTTTCAAGAGACTGTACATAATTTCCTCAAGGTGGTTAAGAAGTTCAAAAGTCATAGTTTAAGCAGTCACCATAAGCTTTCAGAATCTCTAATTTTCAGAGGAATTGTGGCCACAGGGAGAGAATCAGGAGAATGTGAAAATCCTGACGAAAACCCAACACATGCACGGGGAGAACACGCAACATCCATGATACGAATTCAAACCCAGGACATTGTAGCTGAGAGTGCTAAATCTCAGCCAGGATTACAGCTAGAGTTACAATATCTCCATGAAAACAAGCATGAAGAGACAGGCATAGCTATGACACGTGTGTATATATTTATTTCAGAGCATTAAAAATGATATGAAGTTTATTTCCCGCGTAAATGCTCGCACACTGGGGGTCATTCTTACGTGACGCCGTATAAAACCTCTCACTATCAATCTCGCACAGTATTTCTGCGTTGAAATGCACACAGAAGGAATACATACATACCGGTGTCTATTCTTAGATTGCACATGATACAGTGCCTTGCGAAAGTATTCGGCCCCCTTAAACCTTTCAACATTTCGCCACATTTAAGGCTTCAAACATAAAGATATAACATTTTAGTTTTTTGTCATGAATCAACAACAAGTGGGACACAATCGTGAAGTGGAACAAAATTTATTGGATAATTTAAACTTTTTTAACAAATAAAAAACTGAAAAGTGGGGCGTGCAATATTATTCGGCCCCTTTACTTTCAGTGCAGCAAACTCAGTCCAGAAGTTCAGTGAGGATCTTTGAATGATCCAATGTTGTCCTAAATGACTGATGATGATAAATAGAATGCCCCTGTGTGTAATCAAGTCTCCGTATAAATGCACCTGCTCTTTGATAGTCTCAGGGCTCTGTTTAAAGCGCAGAGAGAACCATGAAGACAAAGGAACACACCAGGCAGGTCCGAGATACTGTTGTGGAGAAGTTTAAAGCCGGATTTGGATACAAAAAGATTTCCCAAGCTTTAAACATCTCAAGGAGCACTGTACAAGCAATTATATTGAAATGGAAGGAGTATCAGACCACTGCAAATCTACCAAGACCCGGCCGTCCCTCCAAACTTTCATCTCAAACAAGGAGAAGACTGATCAGAGATGCAGCCAAGAGGCCCATGATCACTCTGGATGAACTGCAGATAACTACAGCTGAGGTGGGGATGGTGTGTTCAGGGTGATAAGCTGTGTTGCTTTTACGCCAAACATATCGTTTTTCGTTGTGGCCAAAAAGTTCGATTTTGGTTTCATCTGACCAGAGCACCTTCTTCCACATGTTTGGTGTGTCTCCCAGGTGGCTTGTGGCAAACTTTAAACAAGACTTTTTATGGATATCTTTGAGAAATGGCCTTCTTCTTGCCACTCTTGATTTGTGCAGTGCACGACTGATTGTTGTCCTATGGACAGACTCTCCCACGTCAGCTGTAGTTATCTGCAGTTATAAAACCTCTCACTATCAATCTCGCACAGTATTTCTGCGTTGAAATACTGGAATACATTAAGCCGGTGTCTATTCTTAGATTTCACATGATATATACTCCTGGTGCAGCCTCAAACAGCAGAACACCGTCCCACTGTCATGAGGCAGAGGCTCCGGTCCACACACACTCACCTGAGGCGGAGGAAGGCCCCCAGCTCCCGGCGGACAGTCAGGTAACATAATGGAGCGTTTAGGAGTGCTGCACTGACACGCGGGAGAAGGATTAGCCATGCTCCAGTTCCCGTTGAGGAAGATGTCACTGACCGACTGATCCACGGCCGGTGTGAGCCAATCTGAGGCGCCCGGGGAACACGGCAGCTTCCTGCGGGAAAACAATTAGCCCGCCGTGAGGATTTCAAAAAGGTAAACACCATGCCACCTCCGTTCAAAGAGACGCCGGCTTTCAATTAACGCTCAGAGCTTTTCATCCCAATCATCGCACACAAATAGGTATTCATTATTCATCCTGTTCTGATTAGGAGACACCTTGAAAAGCTTATTATGTATTGATTAAACTTGCTCCCAGAAAAAGGCTTGTTAAAATCACGCTGAGCAAGGCTGTACAGTGAGAGGGAAAGGGCTTTTGGACTGCGCTGGTCTCATTCTTCATCATTTTTCAGTAACAAACCAAGAGACGTCTTAATCCTAAACAGAGAGGCACCGTTTGGTCTGTAATATGAACTCTTATTGGTCTAAAACGATACAATTACAGCCAAACTTTTGTTGCCATTATTTACTTGTTCTACCTGGCTTCATGTATGTGCTAGTTTTTGTTAGTAAAGAAGAAGATGAAAACCATATATCACCGAATCAAATGGCAACCCGCCTGAGGGCCTCTATTCTGCTCTCTGCTTGAAAATCATAACCATAAAAACTATGGGCATTAAGTAAGTAATGTTTCTTTATATAGAATAAATATATTCCACCTCTACCTTTAAACTTTTGTTCAGACAAGGCCAAGTATGATTTGTACTGGTTGATCAATTATGTATGAACACATAACAGATGGAGATTTTAAAATGATAATATACATACTGTGCAGCTTTTTAATATTTTCCGTCACAACAGCAACAACGATCAATAAGCTGTCTAAAAGGTGTATTTGTATACTGTTTTATATAAATTAAATTGCAGGAGCTGATAGATAGACAGATACAGATGTTATGAGAAGCGTGAGGTGTTTCTGTTGTAGTGGTTAAGCGGTGGAACTCAAAGCCGATATTGCAAGGAATACTTTTACACAAGTGCTTTGTGAGTTTGACAGTAGAAAGTATGTGTGTTTTACTTTAAAATACGTACGGTATTGGATCTCCATACATGCAGCGAGTACCGAAGCCAGGGTTATTCACTAAAGTATCCACCACTTGAGAAACCTCGGCATTATCCGGGCCGTCGTTGCTGAAAGATTCATACAGGTTGCAAAGGTTACATTTTAATGCGAAGGAAAGCAATGGTCAAAGAAGCACAAGGCCAACATAAAAGAAACAAGCGGGTTATCTGGGTGAAAGGAGGACTTTTTTAGCATTGATTGGTTCAAGGAGAGTTTGACTGCAGGGTCACATCACTTACTGAAGAGAACTTACTCAAAGCAACTTTGCCAACGCGAACAGGAACGCACAACCTTGACCGACCGATGGGGAGGAGCTTTGCACCGATACGTTATTGATCCACAAGGGACATTACTTAAGCACATTAATAAATACATTATTTATTCAGTATCTCGGCCGGACCCACTCGAAGTCCAATAGAAAATGACCCCAGATCTCATCAATAACAAGTAACATTGATATCTGGTATATACTGTATGTAGTGTTTTCCTCTTCTAAATACAGTAGATACATCCACGTAAAGGATTTCAGTTGTAAAAAATGTATATCATTGTGTACTTTTTTTATTTCTACAGCAGAGGTCAGCTCAGCAGCTAGAGCTCGGAAGCTGCCAGAAGTTCCAAGTATCAGCCTAAAGGATTTACAAATGTCACCTCAATATTTGAAATGTTCCCATGCCTACAACAATAGTAAATATTTCACTCTGTGCACCAATACTTGGATATTAGATTGGCACAGTTACAATCCAAGGCATGTCACTATTGTACAGTATTGACTTATTTTGAACCGCTTAAGAGTCTTCAATTTTCTCCCTGAAAAAGTAGCCCTCTATGGAAAGGCTGGAGACCCAAGCTTCACAGACACAAACACAGACTAAAAAGGAATAACATGCCACTGTACAGTTGTTTTGCTTTGAGCAGTGTCCACAAAGGCCTGAACCATCTCCTCATTCTAATTTGACTCTCATTATAGCCCACACAGCTCTGCCCTTTATCTTAAGGCTACTCTGGGACTTAAAACAGAGTGCTTCATAAAGACCAGGGAGATGGCATGCAGCCAGCATGCACACAGCCAACACTTTGGATTAATTCACTGTTCATTGTCTCTTTGAGAGGCGTCTCCATGAAGGTCATGCGGTCATTTCCTCGGCCACCACTGAGCGTGATTCAAGTGGCGTGATAGTAAAAATGGATTATGTGCAGCCATCTGTTTTGCAATTAACAATGGCTGGGTTAGCACCTTATTCAAGATAATAAAACTATTGGATGGTCCTGAAGTGTAGACGGGTGCATATACTCTGAAGAAGTGGAACTAATGAATAGTTATCACAGTGGGTCATCAGCATGACACTGTTAAAATAGCAGGAGACAGTGTGGTATCAAGTATGAGGCAGAGTAAGCACATACACCAAGACATAAAACCAATCTAAAAGTTGATTTTAATATCACATTAATAAAAGATAATACTCCCATTTGTGCTGGTTCCATAATCTTAGGTAGTGAAAGTCATCAAGTCTCCAAAATGGTATCGTTATCAAACATTCAAGCTTGAAAATATAATAAGGGTTTATGATGTGTGCACTAAAGCTCTTTCTCTATAGAGGGAAGTTACAGAAGCTCAGTGCTTTTAGTCACTCGCCTGTCGCTGAGTAAAATGACTGTAGCAAAGTCACTCAAGAGAAAAAGGCAGTGTGCAGTAATTGGCCCATGGGAACGTCAAGAAAATATCTGAAAAGGGCTCTGTGTTTCAAAAATACATTCACAGAAATTGAGCACAGTTTATTTGATACCAGTGGTGATGCATGACTGAGGAATATGCACCATTACCAGCAGTGGGGATTTCAGAACCTTGGACAGAGACAACTCATGAGCAGAGCCAAAGTTCTGTTTTAAAAGGAGCTAAAACATGTAAACATTGGTCTTAAATACATTAGTCAAGTCATGATTGCATGAATCAAAACATCAGACTTGTATTTAGCATGGCAACAGTGCAATGTATTTCTCTTTTGTAAATTTCTCCTCTGTGAGATAAATAAAGCAAATCTTATCTTATCTTAAAGGTGCACTGTGTAGTTTTAACTCCCATCTTCGCAGGACCATATGTCGTCTTTGACAGTGGTCCCCAACTCCCGCTCCAACTCCTTTTTGTCCCTTATGACCCACTGTATTTCAAGATGGAGCATTGACATGTAGAGTCCTCAGCCTCATGGACCTTTTTAAGTCGAATTCCGAGCCTATGGTGAAACAACATGATGGAGGTAAACATTCTTAAAAAGGTCTCATTTGTTATTGGTTCAAATGTTTTTTTTTTAATTTGGAGCACCTGCAACAATTACACAGAGTACCTTTAAGGCTTTTACTCAGACAAGATTTGCAGTAGACTCAAATCAAGCTTGCCATAGAGCATTTTGATTGTCCAATAAAAAGTATACTTGTTCGATACATGGAAAATTCCTAAATGAAATATATTTTAATAAAGGATGTAGTCTCATTACTTGTTAAAGCTGCACTGACTGACTTTGGGATTTCAAAGCAGCAGTTTCGCTGTGCTCGCTCTTTCTGCTCCCCTCCCCGCACCCACGAAGCTATCGCCCCCCACTACCCCCCTCCCCCTCAGCGTGTGTTCATGTGCTGTTGTTAAAGCTGCACTAACTGACTTTATTTTCGTATTCATTACGAAAATGCTATCCATGTCCATGCAGTGCATTGGGATATACGTCCTTTTGAAGAATAATTAGCGCAGATTTGTGCTGGCGTGACATTATATTTTAGATCGAGTTTTGATGAAACAAGGAAGAGAATGTGTTTCGGGTCTCAGATTGTGACCAATCACAACGGACCACTGGCCCCCACTTTCGTGAGAAATCTACAGGTCCGTTAGCACAGACAGCTGAGTTAGCACAACAAGCCGAGGAGCTAACCTGAAACTTCGTGTCTTCGTCACCGGTTACTGCTCACACAGCGAGACAGCCATCCAAAAGAAAGTCCCATTCCTCCGCGCTTCCCGGTTCTATCGTTTTATGGTCACGCCATCCACGTGCAAATCCCTATCCATGTATTATCCATATTGAGAAACACTAGCTCCGTCCCAACACTGTGTGTGTGTGGGGGCGATAGCTTCGTGGGTGCGGGGAGGGGAGCAGAAAGAGAGAGGCCAGCGAGTCCGCGGCTTCAAAATCCCAAAGTCAGTTAGTGCAGCTTTAACTTTACGGAGCTCACGTCTCACAATATGGGATATGGAACTTTCGAACGTGGATGGCGTGACCATAGAATGATAGAACCGGGAAGCGCGGAGGAACGAGACTTTCTTTTGGCTGTTTCTCCGAGTAAGCAGAAACCGGCAACGAAGACACAAGTTTCAGGTTAGCCTCCGCCGCTTGTTTACCTCAGCTGTCTGTGCTAACCAGAGACCTGAGGCTTTTCTCAAGAAAGTGGGGGCCAGTGGTCCGCTGTGATTGGTCACAATCTGGACCCGAAACACATTCTCTTCCTTGTTTCTCGAAAACTCAATCTAAAATAAAATGACACGCCAGCACAAATCTGCACTACTTATTCTTCAAAAGGACGTTTATCCCAATGCATTGCATGAACATGGGTTGGATTTAACTAATGAATATGAAAATAAAGTCAGTTAGTGCAGCTTTAAGTGGCATTTGCTCAGTCTGTGTTGATGATTATGGCTTACAGTCCATTTAACAAAATAATATAATTGAATTTAAAACTGCTAACAACAATTAAAGGCTTGAAATACAGAAGCATCTTTTGAATGATACTTTTCTAACTTTTACCTGTGTATATATTGACTATCTTTTGAACTCTCAGCAGTAACCATAAACCACAGATCTGTAAAATAGCTTACAGCTGAAAAACTTAATGTAATCCCAAAGTAGAAGTTTGAGACCAAGATTGCGACTGTATCAAAGGCGTTTTCACAGCAACTTCATACCTCCTGCTTTCTCACATTCAGTGTATACATATCACACAAATTTGCAGACGAAGGAATGACTGTGCGCAGACTGACGACCTCAGCAATCCAAAGATTATATATAATGTTATTGCGGTTTAATTTTCTGGGCCGGTACATACTGAGTTATGTTTTTCTGCCTAGTTATTCACTCACAATATTGCTGCTGTCGATGCTGATGCCAGGATTCTTGTAGCTCTCAGCGCTTACCTGTAAAATGTGTTTTGCTGGCCGTACATCCAGGGCTGCAGCTCCAGACTGGGGTAATCTCTGAACGAAGGCACGATGAGGGAGAAGATGAGAGACAGGCACACGAACAATGCAGGTAAGACCACCTACGGAAAAACCACAATAAGGCGGCTGTATCCCCACATCCTTCATAAACGAAATGTCAAGTTTTTAGAATGGAGACGTCTCGATTCCATTCCAAAGGTCATTTTCAAAGCATATGTATAAATAGAAAATAAATCACTCAGTCATTTTATTAAGTAGAGTTAATTATGGAAGCAAAACAACGTCTCGTTGTTGTACCAAATGAGAATAAGGGCATATACAAGTTTTCTGAATAAAACTTTATCCAGCCCAGACCTCTTTCATATGTGACCCATAAATCCAATATGTATCCAGTGTGACTACCATTTCAAAGCTTTGTTTCTATCCTTTCAATGCAGTACACAGGAGTAAGTAATGTTTATTTATATAGCGCATTTTACAGACCAAGGTACAGACCCAAAGCACTTTACAATGTTCAGATAATGCTCCAATCACATGCAGCACATGCGGTCCGTTCAGTCTCTGATTGAACGGACCGCATGCAGATATGAAGAACTCCTGTCCATCATATAATAAAAAGACCTTCCTCTACAGAGCTGAGTATTTGTTTTATTCCATTTCTCTGATTCATGTCGTTGTTTAAGCCTCATCATGTGAGTGTTCCAGATATCTAACAACTGTGTTCATGCAGGCCCTCCGCTCACCAGAGGTCATGAGGCTGTGATCTTGTAAAATCACTAAACCCTGATTTTTTCAAGGGCGGCAGTAGCTCAGTTGGTAGAGCGTTGGCCTTTGAGCCAGAAGGTCGTGGGTTCAAGCCCCGCTCAAGACTTTTAACCTCTGGGAACACCAGCCACAGTGGGGCGGCTGCGGCTGTAAAGTGCCAAACTGCCGTTGTGTCCTTAGGCAAGACACTTCACCCCCATTGCCTAGAATGAGTCTGGTGTGTGTGTGTGTGTGAATGGTTGGTGGTGGTGGGAGGGGCCGATGGCACAGACTGGTTGCCTCGCTTCTGTCAGTGTGCCCCAGGGCAGCTGTGGCTACAGTAGTAGTTTATCACCACCGTGTTTGGAGTGAATTAATAATGACACATGTGAAGCGTCTTTGAGTGTCCAAAAAAGCGCTGTATAAAACATTATTATTATTATTATTTTAAAGGGCAAGAAAACTTCCTGATAACTTTTAGTCAACGCTGGTTCAGATTGGTCGGGTTTACACTTGAACTCAAAATTTACCATCGGTCCGCTACTTGTGGAACAACAATAACAACAGTTCTTTGTATGTATTTATAGGTTGTGATCTTCTTCATGCGCTCGAGCAGCAGACTACATTTCATCTTGTGTCAGGCTCGGTGCCGTCATTACAAAAGGAGCTGATGCAATCAACACCACATACACACATTAATATGCGCACCGCTGACTTGTTTAGGCCTCGCTTTGTGCTTTATGTGCTTGATTAAACATTTCCCACAATGCCGTCATCATTGTGGGACTCGGTGTAATTACTCCCTTGTCCTCCATTGTGCTTTTATAAAAACTAGACAAAAATACAAAGCTAGTCTGACTCTGTTCCCGAGCAATCCTCCTTCAGTGCTCGAACGCAGACAGACTTTTTGGGGTTTAACTATGTGTAGGGTTTGCATATTTGATTAATTGCATAGAGTTCAATTTGTGAGGACTATGGAAGAAATAAGGAGTGAGAAAGAGGAGAAAATCCCTACGGTAATGCACTCAGAAAGATAAAGTGCTTCAGTGGGATTGAATAGGTAAAAAAGAATTATCGTTTTAGTGTTTCTCTCACTCTGTCTGTAATTGCAGGTGACAGCTGCGACTTCATACACGGAATGAGGTTTGCAGAAGTCATGACAAAGCCAAAGTGCTCCCATCAACAATACTTGGGTTTACAGTGTTTACCAATTCCAGGGGATTACAAAGGATTATAAAACAAAACAACTAATGTGGTTACAGTGCGATTCCAAACTGGAGTTTTGATCAGGCGTGAAATTCAGTTCACTGCGACCATTTTGTCTTGAAGAAGTTTACTTTCAATCTCATGTGCTATTAATGAAACAGAAAGTGAACCACAACAACCTCAACTTGAGCTTGAGCCAAAACAATGTGTGTTTTTTTTTTGGACTAATTCATTTGTGTTCATGACTCTAATTGTGCTGTGAGGAGTGGCAATCTTGATTCTCAGATCGGAATAATGCCTTTTTTGAGTGGATTTGGCATATTCTCCCCACGTCCGATAGGTTTCCTGTGGGTGCTCCGGTAGTCCTGAGCCAGCCGGTCATCAACATGTAGAAATGGTTCCTTCAGATTGTGTATGAAAAACAATTGGGGAGGTCAAAGGAATGAGATATGTGCATTTACTGAACAAGAAATATCTTCTAGAAGGAGTTAATACACCCTGGTTATAACCTACTTTTATTTTTTTTTTTTTTGTGTGTTTTTTTACTATTAAATAAAAATATTGTCATTTGAATACATGTTCAAGTAAGTAAGTAAGTAATCTTTTTATTTATATACTGCCTTTTCACTGCAGACCAGAGTCACAAAGCGGTTTACAATTGTTAATTTTGGGCATTTATCTCTCACTCCACACAGAGATGGGAGCGGGTCGCCAGTACAGGAGGCGCATGCTAGAACTATTCGACATATTTTTAATGGTAGGGGAAACCAGAGTACCCGGAGGAAACCTACGCAGACACGGGGAGAACATGCAAACTCCACTCAGAAAGACCCTGGTCCGACCGGGATTCCAACCCAGGACCTTCTTGCTGAGAGGCAAGAGTGCTATCCACTCAGCCACCGTGCCGCCGTTCAAGGATAGATTGCTAAGCTAAGCATTGTTTTTTATATATATGAGCCTCGTTATTATTGAAATGTACATTGTGATGACAATAAAAAGTAAATCATATTTTTATTTTTATTTTATATAAATGGTTCCTTGACCACTGCTCCTGACGATATGCACTGGAGGCATCGCATCCCCCTACAAACTGTATACTATACCGTAACCTTGATCTTACAAAAAAGTTGCTGAGAGAGTGTTTCCAATTTCACACTGATTAAAAAGTGGGCAAAATATATTCAAAATCAGTAAAATATACAATAGTAGATTGATACAAGCCGTATGTAACCTTTAATCCCAACAATAAATATCCAGAAAACGTTGAATTTGCTCATCTTAAAACACAAAAACTACCAACTCTCTCTATAGTGACATTGCCAAAGTCCTGCCCGTCTGACTTCCCTTCTCATAAATCACCTCTTTTGTGTCCCTTGCCATAATCATATTTATATCCGCCCTAACGGCTTGTATTGGCACAGAATAGATCATTCCAGTGCAGAACAATCATATCTCCTGACAACGGGAGGTGTTGACATGATGGCAACAAAAAACCTGGAGTCAAAATGAATCAAGAGAAGAGCAGATCCTCCGTGTGTCCCGCTAAAGAGGGACGTCCCGGCGCTGACAGTGACTAATGGAGATTGGGACTGCGGCAAAAGCTACAAGACGGAAATGGGCGCTGAGGTGAGGGACCAGCTTCTTCAACATTTGGGTTTCAAAGGGGATGTCTCGGGTTCCAAATAAATGACTCAGGTTTTGGAAAAGTTGGGTGGCTAACAAACGACTCTATTGTTTTGGGTTTTGTAAAATAAGGAATGACTTATGCACAGAATGCTGCAGTCAGAATGTGCCCACTGAGAAGGGAAGACAAAGATCACCTGAGTTTGTCGGTGAGTAACCCAATCACATTCTGGACGACCTGGATGTTCGAATCATTGGAGAGCTGGGTGCTGGATTTCATTTTATATTATGAATACAGTTTGCAGTATTTATGAGTTTGCAGTCCATCTTCTTTAATTTGTAGATTGTCCTTTTCATTTGTGTGACAATTATTGAGGTATTGTCATGTCCACAATTTAAATAAATGAATAAATAAGCAGAGGTTTGCGTTCTACGACTGCTTTTCTATTTCTGCACACAAAAAATGTTCCATCCAATTGCTGCTTATAATAATAATACGTTGGTTTTATTTAATATTTTTCAGGACACTTAAAGACGCTTCACATTCTTTCACCCCATACATAGTGGTGATATACTGCTTCTGTAGCCACAGCTGCCCTGGGGCACACTGACAGAAGCAAAGCAACCAGTCTTTGCCGTCTGCACCTATGACCACCACCAACCATTCACACCAGACTTTTTCTAGCCAATGTGGGTCAAGTGTCCTGCCTAAGGACACATCCACAGTTTGGCACTTCACAGCCACAGCCGCCCCACTGTGGCACCAGAGGTCTCCCATCACAGCACTAACCAGACCCTGCCCTGCACAGCTTTAAACCTCTGACGGGATCGGGCTTTCGCATGCAAGTATGGCCACTAGTACACAGTTTACCATCACAGTATTTACCAGTCTGGAAACCTCTACTGCTAATTTCCCAGGAGGTAAAGTTATCACCAGCGTTTGCCTGTCCATCCATCCATTTTCTTCCGCTTTATCCGTTGCCGGGTCGCGGGGGCAGCAGTCTAAGCAGAGACGCCCAGACTTCCCTATCCACACACACTTCCTCCAGCTCGTCCGGGGGGACCCCAAGGCGTTCCCAGGCCAGCTGCGAGACATAGTCCCTCCAGCGTGTCCTAGGTCTTCCGCGGGGCCTCCTCCCGGTGGGACGTGCCCGGAACACCTCCCCAGGGAGGCGTCCAGGAGGCATCCGGAACAGATGCCCGAGCCACCTCAACTGGTTCCTCTCGACGTGGAGAAGCAGCGGCTCTACTCCGAGCTCCTCCCGTGTGACTGAGCTCCTCACCCTATCTCTAAGGGAGCGCCCAGCCACTCTGCGGAGGAAGCTCATTTCGACCGCTTGTATCCGCGATCTCGTTCTTTCGGTCATTACCCAAAGCTCATGACCATAGGTGAGGGAGGGAACGAAGATTGACCGGTAAATCGAGAGCTTTGCCTTTCGGCTCAGCTCCCTCTTTACCACAACGGTCCGATACAGCGACCGCATCACTGCGCACGCTGCACCGATCCGCCTGTCAATCTCACGCTCCA